CAACACGAATTTAAATGTCACCACCATGCAGTCACACAATGATATTAAAGGTAGAGATTATGACTCTTCCATCGGAAGACTACGTATGAGGTAGGGCTTTTCGTCCGTAGTAGCTAATGTAATAGATGTGTTTCAACTAGCACAATCAAAATCACATCTTGTTGAGCAGTTTACGGAATAGCTCAGGCGGATTATTTTTTATCGATATACTGTTACCTCTTTGAACCCAAAGCATGTGCTGTAGGTAATAATTAACAACCTGGAGTGTTTGTGTCTCTTTTCTGGGCCCCCTTTGTGACGGCGGAATCAAGGTCCCTGTACTCAAGTTCACGTGTGTTAACTTACTTTCTTCGCCTTCACTAGGCGGGTTATGTCATGAAATGTTGACAAAAATTCTAAAATGCGTTTTCGATTAGAAAAGATCCCATAATATGTCAGCTAGGACAGGACGCTGGCTTTTGAATGACCTTTCTGTCCGCCTACAAAAAGTAAATACTGTGACCATTTACTACTTATATATTATGAACTTTTTTACTGAATTACGATGCATGCTTTCTAAGCATGCATAAACGTATTATTGCACTCATTCGGCAGACAATTTTGTTTATTCAAATTTTATATTTGAAAGAGGGCCATCGCTGGTTTAAAAAAACTTATGATTCCCGGACAATTTGTACCCGACCTGCGGTTACACTTGCATCCAGGATTCGCAAACCACGACTTCGCGTAAAAAATCACATTTCTGTTCGTTATTAGAAGCAAGTCATGCAGGGATCATCAAATATCGCCGCGGATGCACTCCATTTTGCATACTTTGTAAGTAGAGGTCACAAATGAACAGATGTGATCCTAAAATGTCGTAGCGGAAATTCAAAAAAACTAAACTATGTGCCTTGTTGTCAAGCATAGCATTTACAGCAGATGTAAGTACACAAAGTAGTGATTTTGTGCATGTTTTCCATAAAATACACTGGAAATAATAAGGTCATCGAAAATCAGTGAATTCAATTCATATTTTGTTTCACAGAGTGTAGTTTTTGTAGGCGGTCGGAAAGAAGCTCCTTCAAAAACCGACTTTCTAACGCGGCTCACATATCTCAGCATTAAGCTGCGCGATAGCAACTACTACAACTCTAATTAAGTAATATTTTCTAATCGAAAACAAATTTATATTTTTGATTAACAGTTCAGAAGATAGCAACACATCTACTGTATCCTCTGGGGCTAATAAAGAGTAGACGCTGTTGATCATGCAATATTTCGACATATGCGAAAGACTAATACTCTTTCGCTAATCGGAATTGACTTCAGTTGAGAGGCTGATTATCC